GACAAGAAATGTAGTCATAGCAAGCTAAAATTGACTTAGTATCTCAACATTTATTAAAACCCTTGCTGAACACTTTTGTTTATATGTAAAGCCTTGTGCTAGACACAATGGAGGTAAAGAAAATTATGAGACAGTGCATGCCCTTCAGTTATTTACATTCTAGTTGGAGCAATAAAATAATAAAAATGACAAGGCACTGTATGATTATCATGTAAGTACTAATCATAAAAACAGCTAATATTATTGAACACTACGTGTCAGACATTTTTCAAAGTTCTTTACATAGATTAATTCATTTAGTATTTATACCAAGCCACTGAGATAGATCCAATAATATCACCATTTGTGAGGAACAGAGGCACTGAGAACTCAAGTAAGTTGTCTTGAGTTATTATATTTACCTAATTAATGTGGCTGAACCAATTTTAAACCTCAGCTGTCTGGCTTCACAGTTTGCACTCTTAATCACCCTGCTATACTATAAGTACTATAAATGCTATAGCTATTCAGAAGAGAAAACAGTGGCTTCCTGTTGTGGTAATTAACAAAGACTCCCTGGTAGAAAGATGAGATTTATACTGGGCCTTGCATGAGAATATCAATGGGAGAAAAACAAATAGTAACAGTGTAGATAGGACATCAGTTTGACCAGAGCAGAGCATATTTGTGGGACACTATATAGAAGTCCATAACTTTATTCAAAACTTCTTGCCAATTCCCACTCCTTTATCTATAGCAGATATCACTGATCAATTACTATACACTCTCTTTGAATCTGCAAGTACCCAGAGCTAACCACTATGAATGGATTAGCACTGGTACATAATAGAAGTAAGACATATTTGCTATATTGGGAATTATTGACAATAGATTGGGGAGATAGGGAGTGGACAGATTGTAGAACTGTTGGTTGCCAGAATTTAAAATCTATTTTTTGTACCAAAGGTAGTCTTTGAAGCATTACCAGAGCTTAGAATCAGAGTGTCATTTTTTAAACATTTGAATATTATTATCTCATGCAATAATCTTGCTCTGTTTATCTTCAAACTAATTTAGATAATTGTTGTTGTATTCTGTCTTAATTTCCCCAGTGAATTCTCAATGCGGGTGTCTAGAATGACCAATGAGTAGTGAAATGAGTTTGACTGGTTTCTTTTTGTTTTTTCTCTTTCCATCTATATTCTGCATAGTAACCTATCCTTTTTTCAAACTTAGCTGCCTTTTATGATCTCTTACTTGTGATCATTTCAATCCACATGTTCCCATGTTATTAGCTATTCTTATGAGAATAGGTAAACAATGGAGATAAAAATGCTTAAGTTATTGGTTGTAATTAAGCCACTGAAAAACATAGAAAAACATCTAGAGGTTGAGTTGTTTTGTTTTGACACGGAGTGTCAAACTGTAGTCCTGTAGTCTAACTAAACTGCTTTCTAAGGCAAGGAATTTTGTAAGCTTTGGACCCTCTCCAAAAGAGATTTATTATCAGAAGTGCTAAAAGAATGTCGTAACATTGATTCAGCTATAAAGTAGTTCTAGTGAGTGAACTCTGAAATTAGTATTAAAGTGAAGCTCCTGTGTAATTTTATGGCCACCTAAATAATCTGTAAGATTATTTTTAATGAAAAAATATGAGTTTACCATATTAGCAGTCCTTTTGCACAAAGCAATAGTAATACCTAAAATTTAGGACTACAGGTTTGTTCTCGCTCAAGACTTTTGTAGTCTTCTGCGAATTTTGTCAATGAAATATATAAAGCTTTTCTGAAACCTTAATGGGAAGCATTTCACTATAATGTCAGGGTTTAACATGCGTATTTTAGAATGTATTCCCAAACACTCATTTGCCATTTCAGAATAATGGTTCGATAGGAGTACCCTGATGGAAAATATCCCCATGTAGAACCATCATAGAGGATACATTCGATGGACATTTAGAAGTAAAAAGTCAAAACAGACTTTGGGGGTTTTTAGTTAGGATTTTCTGATACAAAATGCTGCTGCCATCAGACCTATAGATCACTTCCTGTCCTGGTTTCAAAGAGTTCCTACAACATTTGTAAATGCTAAAGCAAAACAAAGATAATTTAATTTAGTTGTCTGCCTTCTGGCAGATACAATATTTTCATCTTCATTTTTCATACTATGCGACTTATAGACCAACTGAGATTGACATGCCTAACTTTTCACACCTATCGCATAGCAGAAAAAAATCAACAAGTCATATCTTCCACCTTCTGCTGTAGCAGTGACTCTAAAGTTCAAGTTTCAGGACCCCTTTCTACTTTTAAAAATTATTTAGGACTTCAAAGAGCTTTTCTTTGTATGGATTCCCTCTACTGATATTGCAATATTAGAAATTAAAACTGAGATTTACAAAAATATATGAATTCATTTAAAAACAACTTATCACATGATTACATAAATAACATTTTTATGAAAATAGCTAATTTTCTAAAACAAAAATAGGTAGCAAGAAGAGTGGCATTGTTTTAAACTTTTGCAAATTTCTTTAATGCCTGGCTTTTCATATCAGCTGTATTCTCATATCTACTTTGTTATTCTGTTGTGATATTACACACACATCATTTAGCCTACTGTAAAATTAAATATATGAGTAAATAAGAATAAAAGAGGCTAGTAACTTCTTAGTGTTATTATAAAAACGTTTTTGACCTTGTGAACCCCCAAAATTATCTCAGAAATTCTTAGGAGTCCCTATACCACACTTGGAGAACCTTGCCTTGTATATAGCATTCTATCACAGTTCTTTTCCTAGCACTCTGATCACTTTTCCTACCACTCTGATGGTTTATGTTCTGTTTTGTTTTGTTTTTTTAATTACCCAGGTTTTTTGTTTGTTTGAGGGGTTTTGTTTTTGTTAATGTCTTATGTTGACCACGTGTGATTGAGATATTATAATTAGCCAGGGAAACAATAATAAGGAGTCAAGAACCTTGATGAGAATGACAAGGCCTATCAATGATTTTTCCCTGATCTATTTGACTCTAGTCTAAAATGGAGTCTGCTTCTCCCTGACCTCTGTATTTCCCTGGAGGAGAAGGTCAAGTAAAATCTTGTGGATAGCTAGGGTTTGATTGTAGTTTCATCATAGCCACCTTTGCCTTGCCTAACCTTAAATCCTTCATACGCTCATATCCTCTATCCAGATGAAGATAATCATATTTTTCGTTATATGCCCCAAATGTCAATAAAACATCTTTTATAAAAGTAATTAAGAAAAAGGTATTTATCTGCCAAAGAGATGAGGTCTTTGATCAAGTTTAAATCTAGTTCCTACTCTTTATTCTTTTTTTAATTCCCTTTTTCCAGAATCAGCTGCAAGTACTTGTTCTAATCTATAGGGATTTATTGTTTCAGGTCTACCCATCATATCTGATAATTATTAAGTTTAGTGTCTATTGGCAAATAGCCTAGAGAGGTCAAGATATTCTGGCCCACATTTGCATGATAGTGTTTAAGACCCTTGGGGTAAGAAACTAAAAGTCCAGTTTTGATTTCAACTTATACGTAGGTAAAACACCAAAAATATTCAGAATATCCATTATGAATCCTGAACAAACCAACAGGTAAAATCAGATACTTAAGCACTCTGATATAAGCTCTCTTTTCTATCATTTGAATTAGCCAATTTAAGGCTTTATAGGCAAACACAGAGCAATAGGACACTGTTTAACATCTTTCAAATTGGAGAAAAGACAAGAGTGGGATATGCCTCTGCTTTGATTTTGAGTAAGGAGATCATGGAATTTATCTGACCTTGTATGAACTTTTCAAATGCAAGATACTGAAAGGAATGTTTTAGTGTGCGTGCGCATGCACACACACACACACACACACACACACACACACACACACACACACAGAGTTATTATGTTGTAGTCTTTGATTTGGTCATTGTATTTCTTAAATCCATAAACTCTCAACATGTAATTTTATAAAAATGACTCAAATTCAATTTCCTATTTTCCTGTAAGCAGTAGTATTGTGAGATTTCAAGGGGGAAATGGTTTTAAATACAAAAGTATAGTCTAACTTAATTGACTACAATAGTACACATAAGAAAATATGCTAGTTTATTAATATCACTTACATCAAATATATAACAATTAGGTTGACTATTAAATGAATTGTTTTTCATTCAGGCCACTTGCAAACGAGATCATAGACTTGCAATGTTGAAAACTCGTCGTTGCTACCTGGAGAAAAAGAGGGAGGAGGAGCTAAAGCAATTTGATGAGAATACTAATTGGCTCCATCGTGTCGAAAATGAAATGGGACTCCTAGGTCAAAATGGTCATATTCCAAAGGTACAGATGTGTCTGTATGTTCAGATTTAATTTATAAGAACTGAGCTCTTAAAACCCATTATCTTTTTTATTTAGTAAATATCTTTCATAAGACAACTATTGTCCCATATCTCTGATATTTAATTGATTCATTTTCTTGTTTTCAACTAAATATACCTTCCACTTGAAAGTTACCTACTAGATTTGTCTTTTCTGTACTTTCAGAAGAGTAAAGTTACTTTTAAATGTTGTTATTAAGCAATTGCATCCTTTTATAAAGTAGCTCTTAAGTTTAAATTAATTCTATTTCAAACTACTCTTAAGGATTCATCATGTAGGTAATTTGTTTTAAATCTTGATATTTTGTGCAAAAATAGTTTTAAATATGATCACTATTAATTGTATTATAGCTAAAGAAAGTTGATTTGAAAGCTGTGTGTGTAACTGAAGATATTCCATCTTAGAATGGCAAAAGGTTATGTTTATAAAGTGTAGTAATGGGTAATGATAATTAATGGCTGTGTTATGTTAGAGTTGTGTTCTCCTACAAAGTTACAGTAATCTGACTTGAGTGCCTGAACAAGTTTGGGCTGTATTTTGCTTTCTTAATAAGTCTTGGAAGTAATGTAGGTCATTCCTAACTCAGTACTTCCAAAATGTCATCGGTATTATCCTCATGCTAGTCATTTCATGATCATATTACCATTTCATCTTGAGTCTCAAGTTTACCCCTAGAGCAGAAGAGGAAAGAAAGGGGGGAGAGATATCTATATTAGGAGAGCAAAGACTTTTTAAAAAATTCATAACAGACGATCTATTGGCTAAAATTATGTCACATGGCTATCCCTAGATACAAAGAAGTCTGGAAATCTGGGAGGTGACTTTTTCTTTTACTTTTTCTTTGTTTTTCTTTTTTTTTCTTTTTGCATAATCATCCTGAACAAAATTAGAGCTCTCTTAATAAGAAAGTAGAAGAAAATGAATATGGGATAATCACCTAGCTGCAAAGTAACTAATTTTCATCCAAATACCTGGTACTTTAAAAAAAACAACTTTTCAATATTTTTCTAAAAGGAGGAACATCTAAAGTCTTTGGTGATGTCTTCTGAAATTTTGTACTGTGTATCAGCTAATTGATATGTAGCCTTCTAAAATCTTTAGATTTCTAGAAGAGCTCCAGACTGAAAATAGAGATGAAAGAAAATACAAAATATTCAGTAACAAATGTTAAGGATCTTTAATATTCAGAGATATTAGAAAAAGCATCAAGACCAGGGGAATGGACTCTGATTGGCTAGCAATGTCTGTAAATGGTTCTTCTTTTATCATTAAAATTCAGACCTGACTAGAGAGAAGAGACTAGCACTAGTAGTCAGTGATGATAGTTCAAAGTAGTGAAAGGACCAGCAAGCAACAGGTAACCCATTTCCTAAGAAGAAAGCCAAAGACAAATAGTTTATTAGTGTTGAGATTTATTGAGGGTCAGTCAACAATTTGATATATACCTCAATCATTTTAGAAGTCATCAAAATCTATTGTTAAAGGCATACCAATCAGTTCAGTAGATTAGAACATTAAATATAATATAGAACACACTCTAGTTAATATTTTACAGTAGTGTAACTTAGTTTGTAAAGCACTTTACAATATTCCCCACAAAGGGAATGTAAATATTGGAAAGAGTATAGACTTTGGAACTGAAGTGTTTGGTAATTCTAATACTTGATAGTTGTTTTGAATACCAGCTCTAACACTAATTGTGTGACTTTGGGCAAATTATTTAATATCAATGTCTTAAATCCTTATCTATAAATACATTTAAGACATGAGCTTAAATGAAATACTGTCTTCAAAGGTCTAACAGTACTTAACAAATAATAATTGTTGATTAATAATAGTTTAATAATATTCTAAGCAACAATAACAATAGACATCAATAGCTAAAACATGGTGTACATAAGAACACAACAAAGTTAGCTCCATCAGATAATACATTTTCAGTTTGTCTTCCAGAACAATGATTCTGAACTTTTTGGGGATCATAGATACCTTTGAGAATCTGATCAAAGCTACACAGATTTTCTCGCAGATGGAGATTGAGAAGGTCACATTCATACAATTTTGCATATTTTTTAATTAAATCTTTTAAGTTTCCCAATGTCTTTCCATTAACACATTAAGAATATCTACTTTAGAAGGCAGAAAGCACTTTTTTAAAAATACTCTATCCATTTTAAGATGATATAATGATTTAAAAGGAGTAAGCAAAAAAAGACAATGATTCATCAATGAATTCTAATAGGCATTGTCTAGGCTTATAAAAGGTAACTTCTGAACCTCCATGGTAGATCTACATCTCTAAAGATGTAGAGGCTCATCACAGAGTGCAACAGCCTCCATCAGTGTACCTATAAAAGTACTGACACCATTTTATGGGTAAAAAATTTTCAAAGAAAACAGCTGTTAACCCTGGCCAAATTAGTATTCTCATTTAATGCACCAAAGCTGATTCTCATGGATAGGTAGCAGGTGTTGAATGTTGACAGTACTTTTTGGTTTCTTTCACTTACTATTTAATTGATTATTTGGAGACCATGTATAACTAACACACTCATAGTCTCAAGATTATCATTTCCTAAACTATATAAAATTGTAAATATTTTGGTTAGTGTTAAACTTTGACCTTATTTAAAAATAACTACTAAAGATTCTTTAATTTTTTTATTATTATTACGTATGGGCATGATACTTTAATAGATTATTTAGCCATTCTAGTGGGCAAAAGCTTTCTCATGAAGGGTCTAAAACAATTTTTTCTGTGTGACCACTTTAACCATCTTCAGGTATACAGTTCAGTGATATTAAGTACATTCATAAAAAAATTTAATTATGTGTATATGTAGTTTTAAAGTGATATTACTAGAGTATTTTTGCTTCTCAAAAGCCTGACTTAATTTATATTGTGCTCGT